CTGTTACAGCGACCCTGTAATCCCGTACCTCGCATTTTGATGATGCTCATTTTAATGTTCACGTACAGTGTATTTGACATAAAAAAGGGCAAGTATATTTCACTTTTATATTTTATTTTAATATATCTGCTATTAAACATACCAACAGTCTGTTATTTAATAAAATGAGGCATACTAGAAATTAATTATATTAAAGTTTTTAAAAATTAATTTGCTCAAGTAATTAAATATTTAGACTCCCGCCTTCCCTCAATTGCGTGCACTATCCCCATCACCATTGATTCCAGCACCACTACTCTCAACACCACTATACTAGGAAAGACACACCGCCGTCGATAATCCGACACGTGTTTTGCCTCTACACGAGGCGTCCTCAAGTGGAGTAACTGACCGCTAAGTTAGCCATGGCTACAGTCTGATTAACAGTGTGACATTTAGTAGGTGGTAGGACACATTTGCCTAGATCCGTATGGTACACCGTTTACTTATTCCTACAGCCAAATAGCAATACTTGTGCTACTGTGCTCGTGTATAGAGAGCCAGTTTAATTATAGGCTATGAGGCATATCACCTTAATCCTCACAGACAACGCAGCTGTAGCTTCTTTGTATGAAGTTGGCCGCAAGTCTCCATGGACGTTTGTTATTTTAGTTTTATTTAAAAAATAGATAGACATAAAACAGGTACGTGGTAGAGCCACGCTGCAACTATATTATGATTGCAGTACAAATGGGTCGACTCGACCGGGGAAGGACCACGCTCTCACAGAATACCAGCGTTAACTAGCAGCTTAATGCTGCTGTGTTTCGTATGGTGAGTGTAGAGAACCGGAGACCCATTTTACTGCAATCAAGGCATTGCAGCTCAGTCCTCAGGGGTGACAACGCATCCTGCATTTTGATTCTTAATCGAGGTTAATTGTAGATGTCTATGGGTCACAGCATCCACTTACCATCAGGTGGACTGTGTGTGTGCTTGTTTGTCACCCTTATTCTATAAAAAAAGACAATCCCACAATTCTTGGAATCCTTCCATCCAATCCATCACACAGTATTTTTAGAAATGTACTGCTTCCAAGTCATCAAAACTGGACACCAAATTTAAAATATTTTATAATTGTGTACGTGTGAATTTTATCGATATACCTTTTTTCACACTAGCCCCCTGCAAAATACACTTCTCCCACTAAGTTTCCGGTTGGTAATGCCATATAGCATATGCCTTTAGTACAAAAAGTGTTTATTAAATGAATTATACTTGTAATATTTTGCTTAATTTTAATCCCAAAAGTTTAACACAAGCCTTTATTATAATGAAACAAATTAGAAAGGGGGTGAAACTTTTGAGAGCTTTTCGTAATTTCTTACTGGATAACTTTTTAGTAAATAATTACCTGTTTCAGGAAATATCTTTAAATCAAATATCAAATATAATTAAACTTGTAAGCATATAATGGCATTAATATAGAACTAACCACCAGTACAAGTATGATTTACATTGAAATGAACTAGGCTGCTCAGGTCACTCGTGGAACAACCTTTATCTTAACGGTACCTGCCATGAGGTTTTTACTTCGTTAGCCATCGATCTACTTCAGGTACGGTTTGAAGTTTCAAGTCATTTACTCATGCAACGGGATATTTTATTATAAGCTATAATAACAAATTGTATTTTATAGTTAGCATGAAACTCTTTAAAACTATTCCATAAGCTATTTTATGTTCTAGTTCTAGCTGTTTAGTTCTAGTTTAACACAAAAATATTTTTGTGATTAGACTTCACGTTAATACTATGCCTGTATGTGAAACGGGATCGGATTTCTTTCATGAATAAACCATTAAGTCTTTTCAGGAGTATTCCTACAGAAGTGTGTTACTACAAATATCACACTAAACAAAACTCAGATATAGTATAATATTGTTAAACAAATTGCTTCTTGGACAAGATTTCTAAGAGGATTTTTAGAGCAGGGAAGAGACTGCCTGAAAACTTCACAAAAATCAAATGGCCTCGAATTTTTTTTCTTCTTTCAGACATGTACGTTTCAACGCGATGTTATTGTCCACCGTTGAGCCCGTGGTTAATCAGCACTTTTAATTACGATTATCAATTTCGGTGGCGCCGGCGAGAATAGCCTAGCCTAGCCGCAAAGATACCACTTATTTTTCCCTACCATTGCATTCTCCTTCCCATCCCTTGCATTAGTTTACTTTTTAATTCTCTTTTTATTCTTGAAAAGCTTGCATTCAAACTAGAAATCTCACTTAAAAGCATGAGTAAACATTACTTTATAATTGCAAATGTTGCGTTAACAAGTAATTCCTGACTCTAAAGACCCACGACATTAATGTTTGGTAAGTACGATATGACAGCATTGATCCCTTTCACCGGAACAAATGGTTCTTACGAAATAATAAGATATTCATTGTTTTGTAACAACGTTACTGTTACGATAAACGGCAATATGTAACCGTTGTATTTATTTTGCTTATTTTCTCTGTGTGTCTAGCCGACACTGTTTTTATATACTTTTTTTTACGAAAATGAGAGTGAGAAACAAGCTTTTTCACCTGATTATAAGTTGATTCTATAGCCCGTAAATTAAGCCTGTTCACTATGCTCGAATAACTAACTAACCTCGTTTAATAATCGAAATGCAGATGCGTTGTCAGCCCTGTGGACTAAGGTTGAATGCCTCCTTACCATTAAAAAAGCGTATGAAATTAGCAGGTATATTTGTGTTATAGATATAAGGTCATAATGGTCTTTGTGTAAAATTTTGTTTAATAGAATAGGAGTAACAAATGAGCACACAGCCCTACTTGGGGTTGCTATGGTCCACAGACATCAGAATCTATCATGGATTAAGAATCAAAATGATGATGAGTTACTAAAAGAATGAAGAGGGTCTTCGGTTTGAGACACTCATAATATGAAACACGAATCGGCATTGGTATCGACATCATTGTTCTGCTGATTCACTCTAGTATTTTGTGAGATCGTGGTCCTACTCCAGTCGTGCTGACTCATTCGTGTAGCAGCTATATAAAAACATATATATCAAAAATTATTCAAGTGGCGTCACGGACATCATTTCTTAATATTAAAAAGGTGTTTTTATTCTTAATAAGTCTGTTATTTGTCATAACTTATAACTAGGCAAAAATCCTATAATACTTAGTAGTATAACCGTACGTGTTTTATCTCAACTATATAACTTTACATTAAGTTCATAATGATGTATACAAAGTATTATATTTTTATGCTCATGAACTCATGATGTATAATTTTATCTTGTAATTCCACAATGATGTTTTAGTTTTTTTTTTGAAAATTTTTATAGATTTTCTAATTGATTAATTTTTTCGGTCTAAGATTGAGTTTGCGGTTTTAATTGTTTGGAAGTTCTGCTTATTAAAATTGAATGAGAGTTTCTAAAAAGCGATAGAATTGCGCCTCTTTCTCACCATAAAATGCTTTGTACTACAGATAAATGTAAAATTAGGTGTCTTTTAATGCCGAGAGCAATTTAAGTTTACTTTGTGCTCCATTCGTTACTGGCCACAGAAACAATCGTTTGTGCCTATAGACGTGTTGTTTCATTGAAAGGGGAACTTAGCGCGACGGTTTGTTATTTGTCGAACGCCAGCAGCAGCTCTCGCTTTTCGTTTCGCTCGACATGTATGCCGTTAGAATAATTTTACAAAAGCCTAGAGAAAAACTCTTGTAACCAATTTACGGTTGCACGCCACGTTTGGGCGCCGTATGCTTCTCGCTTGTAATGGAGTCTCGTGTGATAAGCTTATACAAATGCGTATACCAACTGTAGGCAAACTAATCTTGTGTATCTTGAATATCGCTGTGAGAAATTGAAATCGAAATCATAACTGAACATTGATAAAACAAGTAATTCTCTGTAGAAATTTATCTGATCGTGGCTTTTGCTATCGGACTGCATATTTGCAGTTTGAATATATATCTATTGTTGTTCTTCCCATTAGTCACATTTCAGATGAAATATTTTCGTCTTTTCGAATAAAGGCATGTTCATTATAATAATAACGTTGTATACCTTTATACCGACATTGTATACCTTTCAAGTGTCATTATTTATTCAGGATTGTATTTTGTTATATTTCATTTTAATTTTATTTATCAAAATTATAGTATATTTCTTATGTTAATAAAAGGCAAAGCTCGCGATTACTCAAGCACATATTTATTTATATTTTTTACAACTTTGTACACTGTTGAGATTTATGCTAGTAGTAATGTTATGAGAATAAAAAACGTAACGTGTTATAAAGTAGGTAGGGGAGACCGGGGCTACAATTAACAAAAATTGCATTTTTTGTTATAACTCCGAAATCATTCAACATTTAAATGTGATTTTTACGTCAAATGATGCTTTAACTATTTAGGTATCAGGTTATTACCATAACTCAAACATATTATAAGTGATGTCTATTGTAGATTTTTTTTTCTCAAAAAAGTCGTTGGTTAATTCTTACCCCGTCTTCGGGGCTAGAATTAACAGCTCTGGGGTAATTATTAACGTTATGTTATACCAACTAATATCAAAGAAAAACAAATATATATGTGAAATTACCTTTTATTAATAAAAGTCCAACTATTACATACGTGTATGAACATTTTCTTATATCAATTGACATTATATTACGAAAAATCTAAACATGAAAAAAACTAACAATTTGCTAAATTATTATGAATAATCAAGGTTGTTTTGGTCAGTTTTTCTTAACATTAATGACTTTTGTGCTAAAAATGAAACAATTTGGCACACAGCTTATAAGTCATCATAGATGAGGTAGAAAATAACACATTTTTACCTTAACATCTAGCGAATCAGTCTTCGTAATAAGTACGAGTATTTACCTTAAGCTTATACAACATGGATAAAATGTAGTTTTTTTATGCCACCAACAAATATAAACAGAATGTCAACGATTAGGAACTATATTAAGCATCACAAAAAATATCTACTCGTACTCATCATCATCCGAATTGCAATTTAGGCAAATGAATGATGTGACATCACCTTTGATGCACCCAGCTTGGGCCCAGTCTTTACAAGAGATACATTGTATCCAATCACCACCTGATTGATCTTCATTATATGAGATACCGCAAATAATACAAAAATATTTATCTTCATCAGAATCACTGGTTTCTATTAATATTTTTTTCTTCACCTCCTGAATTTTTTCGTCTTTGCTTATTTTTCTATCTCCCTCTATCTTGCGTTTACCTTTGCCTTGACCCTTTTTTTTATTTTTTTTGTTCTCTTTATTCTGGTTCTTTTCTGTCATTTTCCTTTTTTTCAGTTCTTTAATATGATGTTCTTCTTCTAAAGCAATTTTTTCTGGTGTATCGGTGAGAATAGCAGATTTTCTGGCTCGTTTACGATTAGATGGAACTCGTGGTGGAGCTTTTGGTAGAGGTCTTACAGTTTCAACCAAAAAATCATTAACATCTTTCTGTATGCCCGATGATCCAGCTATTGGCTCATTAGACATGTGCTCAATTACTTCAGTTACGCTTATATCTAAATAAGGCATATCGTTTAAAATTTCAGGATTTTCTAAATTTAATGACAGATCATCATCATTAACCTCATTCTCAACAGGTGGTTTAGAAATAAGTGACTGATTTTGATTGCTGGGATCTGGACGGTCCGTTACAAAAGATGGCGCAAAATCAGATTCTTGAAAGATATCTTTGTTACATGGCCAAATGCCAGATTTTTTGAATGCGTTGATAACATTCGTAGGATTTAATTCCAACGGTAGGGCTTCCTAAACAATACTAGGAAGATCATAAATGGTCATTGTTTTTCCAGGGTTACTATTCATCCAAGAAGTTTGTGCTTTATTCATATAATTTTTCAGTGGACCATAGACTCCAACATCGAGAGGCTGTAAGTGATGGGAACAATGTGGTGGAAATGACAACAAAACAATGTTGTTGTTCTTGGCCTTGTTAACTACTTCCGCATTTACATGTGAACTGTGGTTGTCTAGCAAGAGTAAGACAGGATCTTCTTTTGACGGCTTTACATGATGAATAAAATGATCAATAAATTTTACAAACTCTTTTTGAGTCATCCAGCCCGATTGGTTTCCAACCCCTATGCATTCTGGTGGTCCATTCCTAACAAATATGTCTTTATAACGAATACGAGGAAAGACAAACATACAGGGTATGGCATTGCCGATAGCATTTGTCGCAACTGTCAGTGTAACTAGTACACCTCTTTCAGCTGATGTTACAGCACCGACCTGCTTGACGCCTTTTCCAGCAACAATCTTCTTCGGCTTTTGAACGGTGGTGATACCTGGCAGAGTGCAAAGATTTTAAAACTGTACACTCTGAAATAAAAATTGACAATATAAAATTGAAATGAAAATAAGAAGACAGGTACCTGTTTCATCTACATTCCAAATCCGGGATGGTTGGAAGCTGTATTTTTCTAGCACGTTTCTGTATTTTTCAAAAAAGTTATGGACATTGGTTCTATTGAATGAAGTAGCTCTGCTTAAACTGGTGGCTTCAGGGCTTCGTATCGCCAACCTGGGATTTCTCTTCATAAAATTAGTGAACCAATCATTACCTGCCATCTCATTAACTCGCCAAGATTCTGGTACGTTCTCAACATTGTAAAATTTAGCACATTGATATTAGTAACCCGAAATAAATATTAGCACACTTTAACAAATACTCTGCTATAATTGCTTCTTGTTCGGCACTAAAAACTAAACGGGTTTTCTTGTAACCCACTGTTGCTGGTGCACCCGCTTTCTTTTTTTTTACAAAGTTGAAGAGTGAAACGTGACAGAGATCAAATTCTTTGGCTACATCTCTGTAATTTCTATTTTTCTCTATCACTTCTCTCGCAGCCAATTCGTAAACTTCTAAGGATTTGGTTCCTCGAGTAGTTTTTCGTTTATACGTTCTCATGCTGTAATAAAATTTAACAAAAAAGAACATAAAATAATCATACTCAGTCGGGTACCTTGTTAATACTTGCCCCCACATCTGGGGTAAGTATAAACATGTTAATACTAGCCCCGTCGATTTGTTAATTTTATCCCCGAAGGTACATTTTTAATTTTTAATAACATAAAAAAATGTTTGTTGAAAAATTAATTAATTGAGCTACAGAGCATTATTAACTACGAAATATACTTCTAGGAAAACAAAAAACCAAATCATAATGTCGTATATTTTGAGCATAAATCAAAAAATTGCAAAATAAAAAATGTTCGTTACCTGCGTAATAGAGTGGTCCGTTACACAACTCAGTCGCACGACGCACGGGACACAATTGACTAGTTCCGAATCATGTGGCATGATCCACACGACGTTTTAAAACAAATGCTATCGCTTTAGCATTTATAGTTTTACAGATATTCGCTTGTTAATACTTACCTCTGTTAATTGTAGCCCCGGCCTCCCCTACTCATCATTCCATTCCGCAACAGACAAGTAAATTGCTTTGATAATTCTTCTTTTAATAATTCGCGGGAACAGTGTGTGAAAATTATGTTCCTGTTACCATATTGAGTTATTTTATTTTCGTTTTTATTTTTTACACTCACATAACACGTTTACGCGATTTTTGTTTATGTTTGCGACTTTTCAAAGAGAAATGCGTAATTAAATAACGTATTTTGTTAATAAAATTTTAGTGTAGATTCTATTTTAAATCAAAATATCTCTTTATATCAGTTAAAATGTAATAAAAAAAATTACTCTCACTAAATTTAAATCGCTAATGTTGTATGGGAAGTAAAATGAATAATAGTACAATATCACGTTAAGTTCGAAGGTATTTTTTGTTGTGATACATGTATTAATATTTATTATTCGTATAATTTTATTTTAAAGATGAATTTACATTATATTAGTCGAAGGATCTTACTAAAGCTCGACTTTCAAAGTAATACACCTATTTTATCCCGCAATACTTGATCTTCAAACTTTAACAGAAAAGACGTTTAGGATCTCGTCAAGTCATAAGGTATTACAGTCGATTAACGTGTGTAGTCGGTGAGTCGTCAATAGGATGACCAAAGGATTTTGATGCTATTGGATTGTCTAATGTGTAATGACATGTCTAATTTTTTGAGTTGTTCAATTTATTATCATAATTCATATTAAATGTTATCCACACACATTTTTTATAGGATAGGGTGACAAATGAGCACACAGTCCACCTGATGGTAAGTGGTTGCTGTGGCCTATAGACATCTACATCTATCCTCGATTACGAATCAAAATGCAGACGAGTTGTCACCCGTGAGGACTAAGATAGAATGCCTTGTTTCTAGTAAAAAGGGTCTCCGGTTCTCTATACTCACCATACGAAACACAGTTACACAGCTGCATTAAGCTACTATTTTACGCTGGTATTCTGTGAAAGCATTATTTATTTAGTTATTACAAATTAGGCTTCGGCTTGCCCAGGCAGTACCTAACCTAACATTCAATTTAAAAAAAACATAGAATGTTTATATTCATGTAGGTATATTAAAATTGTACATGTTAAAACCGTTTTTAAAAATCAATCTTGTCCTGCAGGTATCGTAAGTTGGTATTGATTAAATAAGTTAGCCGAAAAATCGGAAACTCGATGCTTCTGTATAAACACCGTTATACTTCAGTCTTCGTACTACTTTGATAAAAAAAAATGTTTATTTTTCAGGTCAAATTAGATTTTTTTTTTGATAATATTCTCCATTAAGAATATTTGTCCGTTAAAAATGGTATTAGTAGACAGCTTACTAGATGAACTTGCGCAGGCGTTGTCTTGATTCACGGTTGTACGCTACGCGTTAGTCATGCCGGCAACCAGTCGCCACTGCACCGCGAAGATTGCGTTTCCATTCCTTGCATTGCAATTTCTGCTCTAATACTTTCACTGTGGCTTTTTTCTATGTTTTAAAATTAACTTTGCAAAAAGTCCAAAAAAATTCTCATGCTTAACACAAAATTATTTCAGATGTATCATTTCTAATGTTTATGATGACATATCGTGGTGGCGTTACGTGGCAGCTATATTATGGTTGCAATACAAATGAAACTTGACCTGAAATTTGACTGCGCTCTTGCGTATGATGAATTTAGAGATCCGGAGACCCTTTTTTACAACTAGTGAGGCATTCTGTCTTGGCTTTGAGTATTCAACCAACGTCTTGGCTCTTAGCGGCTAAGGGGTGACAACGCACGTATATTCTTTTTGCTGGAAACGAGGCAGTCCTCAGGGCTGGCAACGCATCTGCATTTTGATTCTTAATTAAAGATACATTTAGATGTCTATGGGCCACAGCATCCACTTTCCATCGGTGGACTTCTGCTGTTTTGTCACCCTTATTCTATTTAAAAAAATTGATTCTTAGGGGAGCATAAATGTGTATATATAAAAGGTGTCTATGGACTACAGCATCCATTTAACAACTATAAGGTGGACTGTGCGCTCGTTTGAACTTAAACTGAACAAAACTGTGTCTCGTTTATCTTTTATAAAATAAATAAGTAAATAATTACATATCGTTTTTATTAAAACTATTTTCTTTTATTTATTGCACAGTTTAGCTATGTACCTACCTACAATGATAGAGATAAGTAATAAATATATGCATTAAAATAGAGAAGTAATTAGATGTAAAGCAGTAATAAAATTTGGTTAGCCACAAAAAATAGCATTTAAATCATTTTGTTAGCATTTAAATGTTCTGTTTACAATTAAAAAAACATTCAGCAATTCTTGTTCCGCAACAAATCTTGATAACGTTCAGTACTTTAATCATAAATAGGCCGATCTAGTCCCCTGATGTTAGGTGTATGTTTTTGCTATGTTTAGATTTTTTATAAAATAGGAGGGCAAACGATCATGCAGCTCAACTGATGTGAAGTGTCAACCCAAGGGGAATTGCAGGTGTGTTGCTGGCCTTTATAAAAGAGTAAGCTCTTTTTTGAATGTATCTAAGTCATGTCTGTCAGCTTACGATATTATGAGTTTGCCTAATAAATTATCAATCCGCAAATTACTTATTTGATCAGCAAGATCGACGTTGACATTGGATCTTCTGTTCCTGTTGTATTATTGTTCATGTTAATTTTTTGACAGTAAGTTCAAGGTGCGGCTGGGGTGGCCCGAGGGCCACCCTAAAGCCGCGTACAATATCTTTATATAATATAAAAGCTACGAGCACTTATGCTCGTAGTATAAAAGTTACGTGTCACGTTGTTAGTCCGCGACAAACTACGATAGCCCTCGGGCCACCCTAAAGCCGTATACAATATCGTTATATATAAAAGTTACGTGTCACGTTGTTAGTCCGCGACAAACTAGGATGCCCCTCGGGCCACCCTAAAGCCGCGTACAATATCTTTATATATAAAAGTTACGTTTCACGTTGTTAGTCCGCGACAAACTAGGATGGCCCTCGGGCCACCCTAAAGCCGCGTACAATATCTTTATAATATATAAAAGTTACGTGTCACGTTGTTAGTCCGCGACAAAATAGGATGGCCCCCCGGGCACCCTAAAGCCGCG